TAATATTTGTTAAATATTTTTGGCATTTTTGTTTTGTAAAGAACTAGCTAACTAAACCCCTCACCTTTACCCATTTAGTGCACAATTATTTAACTACTTCGATAATGTATTGCTAGAATGGATAGAATGTACGGCCTAAGATCCGGAGGTTCTGGGTTCAAGTTCCGGTTCGAGCCAAGTTTAGTTATTGAGAGTTTCTGTCAAGAAATTCTCAGTAACAACCCAGAGTTGGAAAGTTGGCGATGTTCCATCCCCATGTCTCGGAGAGCACGTAAAGCCTCCGCTTCTGCGCCTGGTGTATCCGATCGTGTCGATCGTGAGGATGAGTATGACAGGAATAAAGACTCAAGTGCACTCTTTATTCCTGTCATTTTCATTCTGCTTGCGCGCATACTAGGGCACTTTTGACCGCCATGAGACCGAAATAATTCTCAGCTGGACATTACGCAACCATCATTCATGATCTCCATTTCGTATTTGACAATAATTTGCCTAGTGGTTGTTTTCGGAATTATAGCAGTAGCTTAAAGTACTACTAATCTAATAGAATATTTATTTTATTACCAAAAAAAGAAAAAGAAATCGGTTGACAAACAGAGGAGAAAAAGTACTAAAATGTCTTTGCATATGTATATGTTTAAAGTCATTTTTTTAACTTTTTCTACCCTAAATTAAATAAATGTTACCTACCTTACCTAGTTTAGGAAAATTTACGCATAACTTTGAAGAAATACCTAAATAAAGTCCCTTATTTACGGGGCACATAGTTACCAAAAACCTCGTCTAAAGAGAAAACTTTTTGTTACAAATTGTAAAAATTCTACAATATGCTTTGTTCCAAATTACAAACGAGTTCTAAATAGTTTTCGCCGTTCTAAATCTTATATAAGGTTTAGTAGAAATGTTGGCTGTTTTAACTTAAAAAGTTCAATTTACATATGTTCAAATAAAGTTTTTGAAATAAATTAAATATTTGTATAGATAAGTTAAAAAAGTTTTTGTGATGAAAATACATAATGTAAAAATTTAATATTAGTAGCTTGATTCAACATCGACCGGGTTTTATCAATTTGCTGTTTTTCAAAAGTAGCCCCCTCTATCGTATTGTAAAACTAGCGACTCACCCACGCTTCGCTCGGATGATGCTATATATCATATAATATATATATATATATATATTATATGATATATAGCATATACTCTTTCTTATTAAAAGGGCTATCTAATGCAAAAACATTTTTTGGAAATCGGACTTCTTTCAAGCATAAAAACAAGCAAACAAACAAATACTGCGTTTTATAATATTAGTATAGATATTTATAATATAAAATAGCAAATACAATGACAACGGAAAGTAATCGAACTATATATTATTTTACTTACAATTTTTATAAAATAAAAATTCGAATGTGTGTTAGTGGACTTATTCTTCTTCTACTGTTAACAAAACGTGATTGCGACGTAAAGGTAGTTTATGAGCTGCAATTAGTTCCACTGCTTCATTAGCCTGTTGCACAAAACCACTTATCCTGGTGACAGGCGACTGATAAAACATAATTTATTATTTAAAAATAGCTTCTTTAAATGTGCAAAGAAAATGAAAACCATACATAAAGAAATAGTAAATACATTCAGGACAAAAGCTAGTTTCACAATATATTAACGGAAAAAGTTTTGTCAACAAATATTACATAGGTTTTATTGATTTTTTATACTAGAAATCTTAATAAAGTTGCCGACAAAAGATACTAATACTACGACGTTTAATACTATGTGAGTGTCCGATGACGAGTCATAATCGACTGCAAAAGTAATACGCAAGTTTTTTACAAATATTTTTGTAAACGAATTTGAACCTATGACCATCTGGATTTTGGTAGCGTTAGACACATTTCCTAAGTTTAGTTACACATTTTAAGAATATTCACTACAGACGTTCGTGATAATTCGTAATTTTGGCAATTCCTTCGTGGTTTTACACGGAAGTAACGTTGATATTCTATAAAGTCCGCATAAAGCCTTTTTATGTTCCACTATAGACGATGCCGCGGGTTTCCGGCCCTATATTTTGTAGATATAAGATTTATATGGGAGATAAAAGAATATATTATTACTACCGACTCACCCTCGCTTCGCTCGGCTTCATCTCTACTTACGTTTTGACGTTTAGTATAGATTTCTCAGCAATGAGATATTTTCCCGCAGTAAAAAGTATCCTATATGTTGACCCGTATAACCAGCTATAATCATACCAAACATCACAATCCCTTCAGTGATTTTCCGTGATGCGGTAACAGACAGACAGATAAAAATTCTAAAAACTATATCACTGGAAATCACTAGCAGTATTTTGTTGTGAGTAATATCACTTTACCATTTCACATGAACAGAGCCGCATGTTAAAGTTTATTACAAGACTAGCCCCTAGAACCCGTGTCTTCACTCGCGCTAGAAATTCATAAAAAAACTCTAAAAAGGTAGGCCAAGTAAGGTAGGTTTCATACAAACTTTTATCCCCTATTCTATCCCATTTATCGGATTAATTTCACTCTCCAGCCTTCCAACTATTTCCACACAAAACATCACGCGAATCCGTCACTCTGTTTTGACGAGAAAGAAGGACAAACAAACACACATTCACATCTATAATATTAGTCATCATCATCATCATTAGTAAGGAGTCCTTAGTTTTAATAGTAAAACGTTTTAAGATATCTGATGTAACACAATTTAAAATCAGATAAAATTACTCAATATTATAATAAAATAATTTTATATTAATTGAAAAATTATTTTATGTACAAATAATACTCAACCTGTTCCTAATTAAAGTATTATAGCCCAGTAGACATGAATGAATAAATCTCGCAAATTCGTAAATGTCCATATTATGCTGTGTGATTGTAAACTCATAAAATATATGCAGCGCCGCTAATATAAAGCCAAGGGTTCCTATATAAATATTTATTTATAAATATAGATTTACACATACAGGATAAGGAGTACATATACATATACAGATGAATTTATAAAGTTAATTATTTCAATATTTATTTTTTACATTCGTTTTTACTGTATACAGCCCTTTTTCACGTCCCACTGCTGGGCACGGGTCTCCCTTCAGTACGAGGGGGATCAGGCTATAGTCCACCACGCTGGCCAAGTGCGGGTTGACGGACTTCACATGTCTTTTGAAAGTTGCTAGGTTCTCTCAGACATGCAGGTTTCCTCGCGATGTTTTCCTTCACCGTTAAGACAAGTGGTAATCGTGTTGGAAATGATTCACACATGAAAATATTAGAGGGGCGAGACCCGGAATTTGAACCCGTTTCACTCGGTTTCTCAAGCGAGCGTGATACCACTGGGCTACCACTGCCATGTTTTTGCTATAGTTTAATGAAACGAAGAATTTTACCCAAAAATTACAACAGGTTCTACAAAAAGGTATACCAGAGTTTTTTTGTAGACCTTAGTACGTATGTACATGTCATAGAAAATATTAATAATCAATATTAATAGTAATGCTATATTAATAAAACAATTGTCACCTGAATATCTATCATAATAAATCTATCATAATAAAATCAGCCTGTGCTAGCCTGACGCACACTGAGAGTTCCATAAGAGAAATATAAGTATGGTAAAACACCCACAATATTCATTTTATTGGCAGCATAAATAATGTTGTATTTCATAGTAGGTATATTTCTATGATAAACAAAGTTAATTTTAGGGCCATATGCGTGGGATCGAAAATCTTAAACTGCTCAACGTATGTGTGTTGCTGGCATTTTTTTTTAATTAATAATAATTCAAAATAAATACCTAGTGTATTATAATGTTAAATAAATAATATGAGGACAACAGTGTTATCTACATAATATTTATTTAAATTTATCAAATTGACATAGATATTTGGATGATACTATAGTAAGAACTATAACTTGTAAAATTTTAACCATTTTTCTATATCCAGACCCGTATTCGGACCGAATCTCAAGGAAACTTGAAACCAAGTGACAAAATAGTACATATTATGTGTACACATGTATGTATAGTATACATTTGCTTTGAATATATATTTAAATATAAATACACTATTAAAATTAAAATATAATTAATTATATTTTTATTTTAATAGTGTATTTATATTTAAATATGTAATCTAATATATAAAATTTCCATGTCACAATGTTAGTTACCGTACTCCTCCGAAACGGCTTTACCGATTTTTACCAAATTTTATATGCGTATTCAGTAGGTCTGAGAATCGGCTACTATCTATTTTCCATACCCCTAAGTGATAAGGGTGGCCCACGTTAGGGACGAACCCGAGCGGAGCGAGGGTGAGTCGCTAGTTATGGAATAAAAATTAGAGTCATATCAACGTCCGAATACTATTTAAAACACTGGACATATATTTTTAATGTAAAAAAAATGTCCCTGGAATATAAAGGTTCCCTAAAATATAAGTCTATATGAAAACCCTGAGAGTAAAAATATTTACTCTATTACTATTTATTTACTCCCGCATTTAACTTAGTACAATTCATTTTATTATGGAGGAAGTATTCTCACGGGATAAGATGTACGTTAGTTTTTATATCCTCATATTGTGTCGTGTTTTTGTGAAGGCTTAGTGCACACAAGGACCTTTCCGGCTTTACTTTGCTTTCCTACCACTATCTTAGTAGTTCAATGGTAATATAAAAAATATATCAAATCATTTATACAGTAAACAGCATTAAGAATAAAAACACCACTTATGAAGAGCATGTTTTAAGAAAAGTTAAAAAGTTATCGCATGGAGATTAAGGAAAAAAAATTATAAGATATCCGTTTGTTCATAAATTATATTTATTTTTGTATAAGTTTGTCGTCATTTTTGAATACTTAATTTTAGATAAATCTAATGATTTTGAAAACCTAACAAAATAATCGACACTTTCTAAAGTCAATTTGAAAGTTAAAAAATTAAATCATACATTTACAAAACATACCTTTTCTGTCTCTTGCTGATTTAACCTCATTTTTCAATATATCCAGTAACTCTGCACTCATTTTAATGACACTTAAACAAATCTAACATAACTCATATATTTGTTATAATTTATTATTCTATCCAAAAGGGAAATGAATTTCACTTTCATAAAAATAAAATATCTAACGCTAAAAAAACTAAAAAAAAACTAAAGTTTTTCGAACTTATATTCAAGATTGCTCTAGCGTGTTTGCGTACGATATAACCATAGCTTACGCTAAGGACCCGACGTGTGGCTACGCCAGCCTACGACGTAGCACTGGCTACGAACCCGTATTCTCAGTAACTTTATTAAGCTTCAATCAAAGAATTAATACTTGTAAAAATTTTAATTTATAATCCTTTTAAATATTTAATATTCTATCATGCTTTTGCTTAATATTAAAGTATTTAAATTTTATATTATAACAAAAGGGTGTTCTAAAAGGTTTTAGGTAAGAAGATAAAATGTTTTACATTATTTATAAGATATTGTAATTGTGACCATAACTTCTGTAAAGCATTCGAAACATCGGTAATCAAAAATCAAAATGGATTCGCGAAACAATCCGAAAAGATGTGTAGTTTCATTTAAAATATCAAATGTCCACGTAAATCTATAAAAGTATTATTAGTAGCAAATAATGCTATGTTCAATAAATATAACATGTTTTTACACTTTACATAGTATATTCTTATCGCTTTTTTTAATTTTAACTGCAACAAAACTAAATATACCATAAAATATATATATATATATATATATATATATATATATATATATGGTATATTTTGCCAAAAAAAACATATTTGTTTAAATAACTTAGAATATTGTATAACATGACAATGTACGAGTAGATGCAATTTCCTTTTAGTTTCCTTCACGTCTATTGAACACGTTCATGTCTCATAAGCGCATTGTGTTATTTATATCTTTATCGATACATATAATAAAATTCTTACTTAGTCGAATCCGTATTTTTTTTTAATCTTATTGAAATAGTCATTATTATCGATGCAGAGGCCGAATATATAGTTTTAAGAATTTTTGTCTGCCTTTCTGATTGTCTGTCTGTCTAGGAACGCATCATGAAAAAGCCACTGGACAGATTTTAATAAAATTTGGTATGATGGATGATAGCTGGCTTACACTTTTTACTGCAGGAAAATATCTCATCTCTATAATAAAATCTTAGTGATGTTTGGATATGAAATATTATTTTGAATATTCTTGTTAAACCTTGATAATATTGATAGCTCGTCTATAGCTGCTAAACAAAAAAAAAAAGAAAATCGAGGAGAAAAAAGTAATGAACTGTTTTTTCTTTGCTTATATATAATATATAGATAAAATGTACCTACTCCTTATTGGATAATTAATATCTCGTTGGTCTAGTGGCCAGTACATACGACTGCCAAATCCGGAAGTCCAGTTCAGTCCGGCTGTAGAATTATTCAATTGAAAAATTCTCAGTATCCGCCTGGATTTTGGAAGTTGGGTCTGTGACTTAGAGAGCATGTAAATGTATATTATAAGACTTTTCCTAAAGGACTTTGAGAGTGAATGTAATGGAGAGTGCACTTCTATCTCCGCACACATTTGTGCACCATAAATCGTATAAAATTGGCCGCCGTCGCCGATATCGATCAGGAGGTCAATATCGGGTGAATAATAAATACTACTAGAAAGAAATAGATACTTAAAGGAAAGAAAAATCTGTTCTAAAAGTAAATTCTTATTATGGGAAAATAAAGGTTACCTTCAAAAATATAGTTTTTTATAACATTATAAGACATTCTAAAATTATATTTTTAATTATTATTTGATAAACTGGGTAAAATACGAAGCAAAGAAGAAAGCTTAATTAACAGTACTGAAACTTCCAAAATTATTAATTTTGTTTCTCAAAACTTGCACGTGAAACCTATACTTTTACGGAACTCATATCTTAAGATGTGACAACGACGACAAATATTGTTGTCCTGGTTTTCCTGTTGTTATTTTTAACGTCAAAACTGTAACATTTATTAAAAAAATATATATTATTAAATTTATTGAAAGGTATTTTGGTACCATTTTTATTTCTGTTTTAATTCATTTTGTTACTTTATACGTAGTCTGTCTGTAACAACTACGTGTATATAATGCCTTAGAGACGTATAAAACCTATCTCTCCCGTGACCATAATTGCTGTAAAGCATTCGAAATATCGGGAACGAAAATCAAAATAAATTCGCGAAAAAATCCGAAAAGATAGTTTTATTTAAAATTTAATATTCATTTCGCTAAGATGATGGAAACGGAAAATAAGATATGAAATTAACATTTTTTTTTTCAAAATAAAACAGACTCAGACGAATGTTTCTAGTGTTACCAATTCTATTATTGAAGTACACTAATGAAAACCCGACAATTTACATATTAAATATGTACTTCAAAGATAAAGTAAATAAAGAACTAACAATGGGACCAGAATGAAAAAATCACGTCCCTAGTCCTTTGAGTTTATATTATATCAAACAAAATAATATAAGTAAATTCATATTCAGTAAATGACGTAGACATGACATCTACGCGTGTATACTATTTTGTTAGCGTTGATAATAGTGACAACATTAACATTATCTCTTATATCTTTTATGGCAACTAATTTAGATATTATGTTTTAAGATTTTTTGATATCGTTGTCCCGTAAAAGATATATGAAAAATTATTTTCTAACCTTACGTATTCACTAAATAACTATAAAAATTATTTAAACCACAAACGGTATAAACAACGAGCAATATAGATCAAGCAAAAAATAGTATATAATGAAAAAAATATCACAATATTTGGTACAATTTGATTATGACTATATATCCAACAACACGTATTTTTCGTTGCAAATTGTATGCAAATTGCGCCATGATGACCATTTGTATAATGATAAAATGAAAAAAAAAAATAGAAAGCCGCGCGGGATTTAATCCCAGGTCTTGTATCTCTTTCGTACCAATCACTGAACATTTGAATATTTGAGAAAAAATAACTAGTTTTTGAAAGACAGTGAAGTCTTCCGAGTGTAGTGGACTATGTGCCGGATCACCTAAGGATAAAGCCAGCCCGTGCCCAGCAGTGGAACTTTAAAAATGGCTGAATGGTAAGAAATTCTACAATGAAACAGTTTATATAACCCTTACCATACTACTGTTAGATTAAATTGATGCTACCTTAAAGTTATTAATAATATTTGTATGATGAGCGAATGATGTCGAAGATATGTAGGAAAATGAGTATCTTCGATATAGAAATCACTGACAATTACACTATCGCCCTCTTGTTTTCTAAGTAAGTATGATATATTAGACATATTTCGACTGGATGAAGTGCATACACGAACCTCAAACTGCTAAGTAATTAAGTACAAAATGTACTTTACCACTTTGCTCTTAAATAAACTTACAATGTTTGTCTTAAATAAAGCTTTTATAGCTTATTTTTAAATAAGCTTTCATAGTTTTATTCAGTTTATGTAAAATTACTTTTTTAATGTATATTTGTATATATTTCATTATATTAATTCATTACTTCTCTTGGTCGATTTTGATTACAATGGATAGTGTCACTGGAAAAACCGAACTCATTCATAATTCTTTAAGAAGACTTCAGAGTATACAAACATAAGTGCATTGTTCCTTATTTTCTTAGTTCTATTAAGTTTGTCCTTTTTTTTTAACGTTGGGAAATGCATTTACGCACGAGGTATGGGACTCACCGGCAAAGCCAGTAGTACCCACTAAACCCCAACAAAACCTTCCCCCGTCTTAATGGGGCGTCGCAGGATCGCTTACGTATTCAACTACGACGCCTACGACGGCAGGTCTGCCGAGGTAGACCACAACGACCATGGGGTTGCTCCAAAGTCCACTCTGCTATCAGAGAAGTACCAGGAGCAACCCGCATGGTACAAAGCCCTCCGAAGAGGGCCACCTCTCACCGCCCACCGAAGTGGGCCACCTCTCACCGCCCACCGAAGTGGGCCACCTCTCACCACCCACCGAAGTGGGCCACCTCCCTGTGTGTTTCTTGGCTTCGCGCCCGGCTGTATTGCCGGGCACTACTGAGCCCCCACCACGACAAGGTGAACGCACGTTGGGAGGAGTGACAAATTGACCTACATTGACCGGTAAAAGATCGAATGCAGAAGAGATAATGCTAAAAATCACCACATAATACCTTAACCATACGAAATAAATACAAATACTGCCTTTATTATGAAAAACATATGACTATACAAAGTAAAAAGTCAACTTTTCTGTGATTCTTTTTAACAAACAGACCGATAATGCAACATAAAAAGCATTTATAAAACCAGTCAGCCAGAAAGAAGTTGCTACATGACAGACTTTTTTTCGTTTTTTCTCATGATTCTTAATATCTCACTGTTAAATGTTAATACAATGAAAATCTTAAAGTTATGATATTCATGACTCTCTTGATGTCAATTAAGGGAGTATTTTTTGCTGCAAGTTTTTTAAGCAAATGTACCCCGAAAGAAACGAAGTCAAAAATTCAAACCAAGATTTTAATAATATGTAGTTAAAAAGACGTTTCTTAACGAAACTCAAACTCGTGTATAAAATATTTTTTTAAGTGTCTGCCATCTTATCTACATTTGTCATTGAATAACTTTTATGGACGCCCCACTTCATAAATTAAAAAGTTGTTATAGTAACGAGATCAACTACTTATAGGAAAAGCTTTTGCACAACCTTGGAAAAACTTAATACAGAATCAGTGTATTTTAGTAGGTTACAAAAAACAATAAACTAAATATTTCAAATGCAACCCAATATTTAGATTTAAAAAACAAGTAAACGATTACATAGAAATTGTATTAATTTTAAAGTTATTTATTTGTTTGTCCTTCTTATTTTTCCATATAGATGTCTCATAGGTCGACATATGGTATTTTTATTGCCATTTCCCTTAAAAGATTAGTATGAAAAATCTCTAAGAACCTGAAAGTGAGGGTGTCGGCAAGGCCTCCAGTTAGTT